GTTGCCGGCCATGGCGGCCAGCGGAGAGGCCCTGGAGGGCCTTCTCGGGGAAGATGCCCTGCGAGCCGTGAGCGAGCACCAGGCCCTCTGTGAGACCTTGCTGGACAGGCTGGGCGATGTGGGTGCGGAAGAGAGTCAGCTGGAGGAGCTGAGAGACCAGGAGGACGGGAAGGCGTCCTGGGGGCTACTCCTGGCCCTGCAGAAGAGACCCAGCTTCCTGTCGCTCATGCAGCAGATCAAAGGGTCCACTCGGAACACGCTGCGGCTCCTGCTGGGCAACCCGCAGGCCGCTCAGCTCCTGCCCATGCAGGAGCTGGCCAGGAGCGCCGAGGTGCAGACCTTCATTGACGGCCTGGCGGAGCTGCGCACCTTCCTGTTCGAGAAACTGCTCACCAGCCCGATGGAGGCCAAGGACAGGGCCCAGTACATCCAGGATGTCAGCCGGAGGAACCAGAGGAACCAGGAGGTGGTGGGAGCCCTGGAGAAGGAGCTGGCAGCAAGCATCAGCGACAGGAATGCCGAGGTGCAGCCCCCTTCCCCTGCCCCCCAAGGCCGTGGGAGCAGGAGCCGCGCCGGGTGGGCTGCTCATCCCACTCCTTCAGCGCTGGCCCGTAAGATATTCTCGGCTTTGAACCTCCCCAACTGAGGCCCTCTGCTCGGCCTTTCTCCCACCGCCACCTTCTGGTCCCCAGCCAAATGAGCATTTAACTCGTGTGCCTCCAGGAGGAGCCAGGGCTCCAAGGGATTCCCATGGCTTTTTCTTCCTCCTCGTTCATTTCCCTCAAATACTGCTGTTGAGTACTCACTAGATGCCGGGCCTGGTAAAGACACCTCCCCACCCTACACACGCCCGCCATGGTCCCAGCCTCATGGGCGCCACAGGCCAGGCAGGAAGTCCGTGGGATGGGCCTGGTTTCATCACAGTTTGGAGAAGCCCAGGTGGGTCACAGGAGAAGAGAGCTTAGACCGAAGGATCAGGGGCAGTAAAGCCATGATGGGGGGCACACGAGGGCAGGAACCAGCCCCAGCAGGAGTTGGGTGTAGAGGGAGAGGCCAGCGTTTTCTGACAAGCATCTCTGAGGCTTGTTACAGAGCAGCCCCAGCCCCGCCCGCCATTCCTAGGGAAGAGCCAGGGCCAGGGGCCAGGCGGGCTGACCTCACGGGTGAGCCCAGGCCGCAGTGTACCCTCTGCGCACCCCACCCCACCCCAGTGCTCTCTCTGCCGTGGGGGCGCCTCCGTGGGACCAGACTCCTCC